AATAATAACAGGAAAATAGAAGAATGTTACTAAGATAGTCGAAATTCAACTTTGGCAATGCTGGCGCGAGACATATTGTAGTTCCTTTCAACCTTCAAAAAAAATGTTCTAATATTTTTTTCAGATTTCTTACGATCAGCATGATAGCATATTAAAGCACAGCTGATAAATATGCTACTTTGCAAAAAAGCAGTGCTAAGCACGTAGGAAAATTTTCTCAATTTAATAATTTATTTTATTTATTTAGCACTCACAACTTTACAGTTTTCAATAAACTTACAAGTAACTAATTTTACATGTATCACTTTAACCTGGTGCCTGCTGTAGGTATAATAACTGTGATAAAGTACAGCCCCCTCGCGGAGCTCATAAAAATTTGACAATAAAGAATTATATAATATTTAACTTTGTCTTTGTATAAATAAACGCACAAATTACGTTTTTTCTATAGCACGAAATAGCATAAATCACCACGAGAAAAATAATGTTATATAAAAAACTGTCTTTAGTTTACGCGAGTAGTACACATTTAAATAAAACACTTTAACTTATTTGAAAATGATTTTTTGAAAAATCATTTTCAAATAAGTTTAACTAATATATCGCGTTTTAAACCGTTAAAGTGTCTTATTTAAAAAATGTTCTATAAATCAAAAAGCGGTCTTAAAGGTGCCGACATTCCCATTGCTGGTCATTGTTTGAGAAGATTTCAAGGGGCCACCCATCACGTTGTTTCATTTCGGATTGGTGGGCTTTAACGACTATCAACTGTAAAGTACGGATTGCCGGGGCTTTTTTATTTACTTATTTAGGTTTACCAACGCATACTACATAATATTAGTACTATCTCTTAACATATAGACATAATTGTAATGTAACAATTAAAGATACCAATCATAAAAAGTAAAGAACTTATTTTACAAAGAGGGCATAAACTAAGGGAAACACGGGCTGAATAGTTTATACTAGATAAAATATACACAGGTAAGTGCGTTAGCGCAAAATACAAATTATTACTATTTATTGAACTCCTATTAGTTATTGAATAATACAAAACTAATTAATAATATCATTTGAGCCGGAGTAGAAATAACATATGACAAATAGATTGTACGTAAAAACGCCTTATAATGCGGTTGAAGTCTTTACAAATATGGCATTGAATGAATTTTACCTACTAGTATTAAGGTAATAGTGATTCATATATAACAATAGTTATTTTCAGCTATCATTAAGGGATTTCCTAAGTAACATTTTTCAGTGTACTAATCTAGTCTGGATTTTCCTGCTTTAATACGAATAACGAAGACTTCAATAATACGCAGGTGCACGTAGCACCTCTCGCGCACCGCAATAAGTTAAAAAAATCTACGATGACGTGAAGACTCGGTTGCTCAATTGGTTAGAGTAACAGCACAGACCGCTTGGGATGCCGGTTCAAGTCCTGCCCGAGTCGTAAATTTTTATCAATCTAAAAACGATTTTTAATGTAATAAATTTAATTTTGTGAGCTAGTTAAATACTGTCTATAGTTTACGCGAGTAATTACATTAAAATAAAACACTTTAACGGTTTAAAACACGATATATTAGTTAATCATTTTCAAGTAAGTTTAAATAATATATATATGTATATATATTTAAATGAACTAGTTGATCTAATGGTAGCATCCAATGAATAATCTACGGGTCGTGTTCATTTCTTTTCAATATATAGTAATATTGTATTTTCAAAAATAAAATATTGTACTTTATACTATTTGGATTACAGTTGCATTTTTTATTTTTTATTTTATTATTTCTTTAAATTTCTCATCAAATATCAAATATACAGTAACAATAATACAATGTCCATGTGTAATTGTTTTATTGAATTGTTGTATGTAATTAAATGTATGTAATTGATACTGTATCATTTATCTTACCTTATAAAGCATTACGCGAGGTTTATTTACTTGTAAGTGTAAAGGAATGTACTTCATAAAATACATTAAACATACATTTGTACTGTATAATAATAATCAACGGATCGTTGCTTTGTTTCTTCTAGGTAAATTTGTAATTTTTCTGAAATATGTCGGTCGGACTTCGTCTGAAAACATGGCCTGGGGTTTTCCTTCTTCTTCCTTTCAGTGTATTCCAATCCCAAAAAAAGTACTAGGACAACATGGAGGGCCAATTGGTGTATTCTTCAATTTAAAAATCATTACTTTTTTTACTTTAATAATGTATTGTTGTCCTTATGTTATTCATTGGGTGTATCTCAACTCTTGCATGAGCTGGTCTGTCTGTCCGAGCGTTCACGTACGTGATTCACTTACAAGACACCGATTTGCTGTTCAGGGACTAGAGCTTACATTTATTATTGAAGAGTAAAAATATTTCTCGTACCAGTATATGTTTAGTATTACATATTAAGTATTAGTCGATCGTATATACCTTCCAAGCATTCGATACTGTAAGTGCGTCTAAGGGTTTCGTTGTTAATATTTTCGTTACATTAAGCAAGTACTACACACTTAAATAAAATACATTTTAAAATACGGTTTAAAACGCGAAATATTATTTACCTTGTTAATCCTCCGTGATTACAACTGCTACAAAAACATCAGAAACATCAAGTCAAAGGGGAAATAAAATTAAAAAAATTACTTATATATTTCGCTTTTTAAACCGTTAACTACCTTGTAGTTCCGTAGTTTTTTAATGGAACCCAATTACTAGGCGTCTGCTGTGTTTCCGTCTAGGTTGTTTCATGTAAACACAATTAGACCGTACAAATTTTGCACATATATGATGTAGTTGTCACTAAAATAACGCACGATTATATAAACATTGAAGTAGGGTTATGACTCATACAATTTTTCACTAGTTTTTATAGATGTAAGGCATCTTTCATGCACATCCGATAGGCCAACAGTCTATGATTCTACTAGTAAATGAATAAACACCACTCTTAAATACAATATGTTTACATTCTCTTAAGGAAAACAACATTTCCTTAATGTTAATTAAATTAATTATCGACTCTGAAACCCAGGTTTAACATATTATACTTCTCACCTACTGCGTCAAACACTAAAGCTATTGTGAATCATGTAATTCCTTGGAATTAAAATAAATTATGTGAATACCAGTGTACAAAATTATTTCATATTTACTATAGGTATATTTACTTTTATATTGTTTACAATCTTTTACAAGAATCGAAGAATTTAAATATCTGGTAGTTTATGGCCCCAGTGGGTTAAACCAAACACAATGTACATCCCATTACAAAGTGGATATGCTACTGTACATAGTGTCCCAGCCCAAATTTGGATATTATAGTTTGTTAATGGTTTTTGTCGGTCTATTAGTTTTTAAAAATAGTATATATATACATTTTTATTATATTGCAATATATATATTTGACAAATATTGATATATTTTAATAAATATTTTTAGTACACGACTAGGTATTGTAACTCCAGAACATAAATAGAAAACAACTTATGAACAAGTAAGTAAGTTACTGACGGGTTAGTTGGTCTTATGGTAGCAATGATTGGCTATCAACGGTTCGATTCCTATCGAGTCCCATCGAAAATTCCAGGTCACGATCAACCGTTCACAGATACACTACAGTATCACATCTATGGATGTATTTATATTATTTGTAGCTGACGAAGAGATAATCAAATGAAGAGTGAAATGGGGGGCCGAATACAATTAACAGGCGGGACATGAAAGTTAATGACGTTAATCCTTAAGCGAATTGAGGAAATTGCGCTCCAGTTTCGCAAGATACGGCTGATTTGGCACTAGGTCGATTAGCGACAAACGATTTATATCCCACTTCTGTGATAAGACGACACACTACGCCTTTTACTTAGTAAGTTTTAAAGGGCCAGAAGAACTCTACCAAAGCTTCTGACAGTACTTAGTTGAGTACTCATTTAAATAAAACATTTTTAACGGTTTAAAATGCAAAATGTATTAGTTAACTTATTTTGGTTTTGGTATGCAACTGCAAAGTAGCCGTGGTTAAGTGAGTCAAATAAATTTTAAATAATCTAACTAATACATTTCGCTTTTTTAACTTTTAAAAGTGTTTATTATAATATTGATTGTTAGCTATATTTTAGACATTATCACTTTGTTTGATTCATCAAGGGTTTATCAAAAACAAAGTTCCAATGAAAGAATTATTTCATTATTGATTTTCCCATGTTTTGACTTGGTAGGACGGATGTTTTTAAGAAATATAGAGACGAACTTATAATTAAGTAAGATACCATAGGGAAAAAAATATTATAAACGATACAAATACTAAAAAAAATAGACAATTTGCTTAAAACGAACACAAGTTTTTAGTCGAAAGCTGGTGAGACAATCAGATTTGAGCTTTGGCAAAAATTTAATTTAATAATATAATATGTATACATTATTTGCATATATTTGAGTTATGTATATTTAAACATTTGCGTTATGATTTTTTATTAATAAATTTGGCTACATGTTAGACGATGTAGGAAAATGATTGAAATTATTATCGCAGACCGCTGGGACGAAAACCGGTAAATCCACTAATGACGCATGCATCGGTATTGTCAGCAAAGAAAATGCTGCACCTTTAAATTATGAAAAAAAACATAATAGGGATATAACGTATTCCTAGTATTTTTTGTAATGATTTGAATGTATGCAAGCTTACGTTTAAAATAAAATATAGTAATTATATTACGTATTACTTATAAGACTTGTTTTACGTGTTTTGTTTTAGGTCAAAAAAATCCAAATTAACACCGTTCTCAGGACCGGGTTCAGTAATGATACTTTGTATAAATAAGAAATTGTAATTATTATGCAGACCGTAATCAACAAAGATATCTCCACGTAAACATATATTATAGTGTGTTTGACCTCTAAGATCCAGTACTAGAACACGGACGGACAAGTGATCTTGTCGTACTATATTTATTAGTGTGTGATGTCTGAACTGTGATCAACGATTTCAAAATGAGGTGCTTTAGTGTTATAATTGGAGTATTTTTTATAGTGGATAGTGTTTGTAAGTAATTTTATATTAACATTCGAAATTAAAAAAAATAAAACAACAATATAAAGCAAACCAGAAGATATACTTGAACAGTTTTTGGTTTGTAATTCAAGAGTGTAATGAAAAATATATAAGTAATAATAATTACTGTAGTGATACAGAAAAACTAAATTATTAAAAAACAAATAAATATTAATCAGATATAATAACATTCTGGTATTTCACTATAAATATTGACAAATATTTTACACTCATTAAATTCTTGTTTCATACCTCTATAGAACTGTGATCATTTTCCTTAAAACGCAAGTCCATGTTTTATAAACAAGTTTTATGTTATAGCTGGTATAGATAAGGAGGATAAGTTCATAGAAAGAAACATAGTTTTATAAACGCAAAAATAATTATGTTAAGAATAAGTCTTTTAATTGTTGAAACTACTATTACCCATCCTCTAGGGAGATCGGGCAGACACATAAGTATGTCCGGTTTTATAGATCGATTTCGTATACAGATAAAATCTGTTGACATTTTTGTGCTCCTAACTAAAACATGAATATATTAATGTACTATTTTTTTTTCGTCGGGATTCAAAACGCAGTTCCTCGTGGTTTGTTATAATATTGCAAAATTAGTAACGACAGAGGCGGATTATTATTGAAGTTAATTTGATAAACGAGTTTTCAACCAAACAAAACTTTTGTATGATGTTGTTCTATGTATATATACCATTTTCTACCATTACACTTGTTAATACAGGACAGTAAAAAATACTTGTTCCTATAGCTACTAACCAAGAACTCGATATAGCTAATAAATAAAAACATGTTATTATTTGACCCGTTCAAGGTCACGGAAAAGCCACCGGGTAATACCCGCATACGTTTATTTATCACACTTCACTAAGCTTGTATAATTTTTATGTAAATATTGGTAACCAGTTGCGTTTGGTCTTATTATATAAATGTATGAACGATCTACATTTGACATTTTATTTTAGCTTAAATTACTTAATAACTAGAGTTAAAAAGAGACATCTGAAAACGTTCTAGGTGAATACTAAAAAGTACCTAATGTACAGTGTATAATGTATGTAACTTTACTACCTTTGCCGCGACTTAGTCCGGGTAGAATAGAATTTGGGGACCATCACCTTATACATTATAGCTGTTACCCTCGAGGCCGTCCGTGTCTCATCATTTTTGCGAGTTAATCTTAAATTATAGACATATACCTACATATTTTTTGGTTTCTTGAGCTATTTTCGTTGCGCATGAAACGTTCAAAGATGAATAATTTTCCCCCTATTCATCGTATTTCTACTGCGCATTCGCTTACATTCGCAGAGTGATGTTATATAGCCTAAAGCTTTCCTCTTAAATGTAGCCAACTAAATGCCAACAAGAAGATTCTGAGATTAGCGCGTACAAACAAACTCTTAGCTTTATTATATATATGAAGACTATAGATAGATTAAAATTGAACCAGTTGTCGCTCGCACACTTGCTCATATCGATGCTACGAAGCTATTGAAACTAAACACTCGATGCTCCGTTACTTGTTCCAAAGGGATAAACATTTGCAATGTGTATGCATAATAGTAGCTCAGTTGACAGAGCGACGTTTATTCGTCTGTTGTGGGTTCGAATCCCACGTGCGTCATCGACTTTTGAATTTTTTTTTAAATGTTGTGTTCGCTTTCGTAATTCACTTCGTAATTGCTAGAAATCTGGGATCCGGAATTCGTATATTTAATCTTCTTACCTGTGTCTGATGGATCGATAAATAAAATTGACACTTTAAAGGCTTAGGACAAACATAACGAAGCTTGACTTAAATACTGTTATAGTTTACGAGTAGTACACATTTAAATAAAACACTTTAACGGTTTAAAACGCGAAATTAGTTAAACTTATTTGAAAATGATTTTTCTTCTTTAGTCTCCCCGTGACCACGGCTGCTGCAAAGCATCCGAAACGTCGGGCCGAAGTTAAAAATCATTTTCATATAAGTTTTACTAATATATCGGTTTTAAACCGTTAAAGTGTTTTATTTAGAAGCTTGACTTATTATTTCTATAAATAGCTCATAATGTATCATCATAAACTTCAGTAAAACGATTATTTTATGATAGAGAGGACAGACAAACATGGTGTCCACTTGAAGTATTGCCCACTATCCTCTCAAAGGTCGACCTGTGAACGCGATGAAACTTGACGACTTTTTCATTTGTGGTAGTTCGTGACTCGGACGGAATTTTGACATTGCTTGTTATTGAAGAGGTAGCGGGGGAGTCGCACCCATGGCCTGTGGATTATAAGCCATACAGTAACATAAAATCTCTTAACATTGTCTTCGTCTGGTCCAACTTTTTTCCTGGACATAAAAGTTTAGCATAGGTATATAACATGACATTATTATTCGCTTCGATTAGGAAGTTGTCGCAATGTCAGAGGTTACGTAGGTTAGAGATCGTTTTAAGTATAAACAAAAAGTTTATCATAATTGCCACAAGTATATAGAGACATAAAACAGCGTACACAAAAAAATTAAGTAAACATTTTAAAAGTATCTTAGTATGTATTATTAAAAATATAATGCAGATCTTTCATTTTATTTTATAAATAGGATTAATAATACCAATGAATATTCAAGTTCCTACATAAGCATATTCCTTGGGTAGTGTTTTATATGCGTAATCCCGTTTCCCCTTTCCGACACATTTCTGAGTCCGTTTCATTGATCAGTTCTTTAACAGATAAGTAGTTGATCAGACTTCTGTGCCCTGCCCGACCGGAACAATTTTTTGCCTCCCTGGGATTCGAACCCAGGACCTCTCGCGCTTAACGCAATGCTAGGCAATAGGTTTAACCATTTGGCTGCAGAGGCGGTCACTTAGGTGGTAGGAATATAAAAATACGGTCCATAAACGAAAAAGTCGTCAAGTGTAATCACCTTTCGGTTGCAGTTTTTGGATTTCCGAATATCCAAAATCAAAATAGGTCGACAGTTCATCCTGTTTATGGATGTTTCACTATTGGTAACCCTATTTCATCCTTCTTCATTATCATAAAAAAAGTAATTTTTATTGTCCCAATTATTTATAGTACGTATGCAGGAATTTATTACACAAGCAATTTGTGTAACTTTTAGGTTTATTTCACTATTTTACAATTGTTAAATAAGTTTCTAAGACCTTGATAAACTTTTATTGCATTTTAATGATTGAAAGTGTTTTAATCAGTCATTTTATTTTAAGTGTCTTAACTTAAAGTAGTACCATAAAAAAGGAAAGTAGAGAGCCTAGTTATTTAGAACGTGGCAGTCTTACTTCAGTCAACAATGGACATGAAAAAATATTACGAAAAGTTTTTACAGATACAGTCATAACTATTGTATTTTTGTGTTTTTTCACGTTGCAGCTTATTAATGTCTCATTGCTGCGCCTCTCTTCACACTTAAGAGAGAATTTTAATAAAATACTTTAGTTTACGCGAGTAGAACACATTTAAATCAAACAATGTCAAATGTCAAAATATTATTATTAGTTAACTTATTTGCAAATTATTTTAACTACGACCCGACGTTTCTGATGCTTTGCAGCCGCCGTGATCACGGGGAAACTAAAGATAGAGGGCGTCTCTTAGTCAAAGTAAAAACTGCTACGCTAGCGCCATCTGTTCCGTCGTAGTTGGTATTTGGCGAAACTTTAGAATTGACTAACAGTGTCTTCGCATTGGCATGGTAACCGAGACTGATGGCAAAACGTACTCTCTGAGACACGGGGGTGATAAAAACTCGTATTTCCAAATTTTCTTAGAGAGTTTTCCAATAGTTGTAATAAATCTGCAGTTTACAACACTAACCACTAATCAATAAAGGTACTTATAAGATGTGTAGTTAACAAAAACATTCTCAACAGTTTCAGATACATGCACGACACCACTCGGCGTGACCAGTAACTGCATATCTCTATATAATTGTCCAGAACATGTAGCAGCATTCCAGCAGAGGCCATTGTCATCTCACGCTGTTAACTTTCTAAGACAATCACAATGTGGATTTGATAGAAGAACTCCTCTAGTCTGCTGTGGCCCTATTCCTTCAGCTCCATCATCGTCTGCATCTACGACAGTAACGATCTCTTATTTAAGTTCAGACTAAGAAGAGACAATAATATTTTTTTATAACTCACTGTACCACGGTTTTCTTTATGGAAATTTTTTAATATTTAAATAAATTTAATCTTTTCCTAAATTTAAAGTAAGAAGAACATTCTAGAAGCGACTTTTGTCTCGTTGTTGAGTGCAAGTCAGTTTGACTTGATTTTTTTACAATAATAGTAGATTACAGGAAGCCTCCTATAAACCATTATTCCTCAACTGTAGTTCTGATTGATGATAATTATTTCCTTTTTACAGCCAAAACCAAGGCCTCAACAAATAGATAGCAGTGTAGACCCACCGGTTAGACGCGATTCGCTTCCGGAACCTCGCGGCACTTGTGGAATTGACAGAAGTGACAGGATTTTTGGAGGAACAATCACTGATTTAGACGAGTTCGTATGGATGGCGTTGTTGGGATATCGTAAGTAGACAGTATTTTGATCCAAGCGGGATTCGAACCGACGTTAACAACGTGCCCCGCTGTTTAGCTACAGTGTCTCACACGTCTATTATACGATTATACATCTCTACTCTAAATCTGATTTTAGTCTTGAAACTTACGTTATTCACTCTCAAATATATGGTTAAGTTATGTAAGCTAAACAAATAACCTGCTAGCTTAATCAAGAACACTAAGGCAATATGAAGTCTTGTCCCAAATTTAATAACTTAATTATTGTTTTAAAGTGACTAGTATAATAAAACATAATTTTGAGTATTTTTCGCTTTAATATCACGTATTTAATTTAAAAATCGTATTCCCCAATATTCAGTTGTTTTTTTTATAACATATTTAAGTAAGAGTTATTCTGTAAGAGTTTAACATTTGCGTTTGATAGTTGATTATAAATGGGATGATATAAGATTCATTTTTTTTTCAGAAAGAATATCAGGCAAAGGAATAACATATCAGTGCGGCGGTGTCCTCTTTAATCATCGTTATGTACTGACTGCAGCCCACTGCGTCACGGGAGAAATCACACGAGTTGTAGGAGATTTGTGAGTAATTTGTAAAAAAACTCTGGTTAAGGAGAATAAAGCAAAAGATGCAGCTTTTAACGAAAAAAAAATTAAAAAAAAATCTTATTAAGCGATTTCTTCACGGATGTATTTCTGCTACCACTATAACATAAATATTTAATAATATTTGATAAGTACACGATAATATTGTTTTAATGATACGGCACCTATACTGCAGGTGTCAGACTCGCAACTAGCCGTTTTTTTTAATTGTACATAGCAAAAATACCTTTTTAGTGTATTTATTAATGAATGAACCAAGATAAATAAAACATATTAAAATTAATAGAAATGAGGGCGGCATTTGAGCCGCATTCTCAGGCGTTCTGCGCTTCTATTCTTCTACCATTCCTATAATCGATTTTTTCATTATAATAATTTAACCTACGAGTTAAGTAAATAATTTGATTGCAACTAAAGAGATCATTGAAGATTAAATTACACGCACACAACATTTCGAAAACTTTGAAAAATTGGAAAAATTTAATTGTTTATTATTATTACAGAGACCGTGTACGTCTTGGCGAATATGACACACAGTCTGATGTAGACTGCCTTGGAGATGACTGTGCTGATCCCGTCCAGGAGATAAAGGTTCACAGCGCCTATCCCCACCCCGGATACTCAGATGGCAACACTAACAGACAAGACGATATCGCTCTTGTTAGATTGGCAAAGAGAGTTCAATACACAGGTCTAGTACAAAACCATTAACATTGATTCATAATATAAATTAGAAAATCTATTTGGCTTTAAAAGAAAACACGACACGGGTGGGTGGGACTTGAACCAGTAACCACGGCGTTGCGTGCTCATAAAGCAAATGTTTTTAAATAAAACACTTTAGCGGTTTAAAATGGGAATTATAATAATTAAACTTTTAATTTTATACGGCCAGCGTTCGTGCTTTGGGCAGTCGTGTCACGGTCAGACGTTAGTAAAAAGTTTAAATTTTATATATCGCATTTTAAACTGTTTAAGCGTTTTATTTAAATGTGTACTACTCGCGTAAACTAAAGATATTATAAAACATTTTTTCTTAAATAGATTTTGATTTCTATAATGCCAAAGTGCAAATTGTTTTACGTAAGAAGACCTAGAAGACTTACGTCAAGTACGAGGACTAGGATAACATAAACAGCTGTATGTCTGAAGGTTAATTAAGAATTTTAAAAAAAGTTATATGAACTAAAGTTCATTCACACCGCCTACTAAGCAATATTCCTATATTATTTCCACCAACCAACCAATTTATAGTGGCTTTGCGTTCTTAATTAATATTAAACGTAGAGTGCATATAGCCATTACTTCCAACCTCACCTGATGATTACTCATTAGCATCTTAAGCTGAGCAGCGCTAGCTGAACCGAAAATTTTTTTGAAAAATCTTTATTCATTTCGCTTAGTATCTTTTATATGTTGCAACATCATTTTGTTTCTAATTTAACTAAACTTAGTGACACATTGCTATTTAGTGACGATATATATCATCTAGGAGGACAGATGAGCATGGACTTCACTTGATGGAAGGCATATAACATCTAAAAAAGATGCGTCGTCGACCTTTTAAGGATTTTCAGAAATAAACAGACTGTTTTTCGTCATCCGGACTGACTTTTCGACATTCCTACTATTTACTTACTACTTATTTAATGTGTTATATTTTAATGCCACAGATTTCATTCAACCGATCTGTTTGCCTGACCATAACACGCGGTTACCGGTAGGAACCGAAGTTTTCGTTGCTGGCTGGGGCAAAACACTAGAAGGTAAGACTTTTATTGATCAAAAGTAACCTATAACATGATTTTAAATACATATAGAAGGTAGCTTTATATAAACCTACCTTCTTTTCCAAGAATACTATTTTATATATCGCATTCAAATCAGTTTTCTTCGTTAACAAAATATTAACAAAGAAAAATAAAATTTTTTTTTATTAATATAATTAAAATTTAAAGGTTGTCTGTTAATACTATAATAATTATTAATTATCGATACTACAATAAGATAAAATATTATTAATAATTAAATTAAAGATACGAAAAAGAATTGTTTGAATTGCATAGTTTTTACTAAAGTAGGTATATAGCACTATACTATAATTAGGATTTCCTGCTTGTTTTAGGTAATAGCAGCCCCATCAAGCTAAAGCTCGGTCTACCAATCTACGACAAGTCGGAATGCTTTGAGAAGTTCAAAGTACTAAACGCCATTTTGACTGATAGACAAATCTGTGCTGGCGGTGTGTACAAAAAGGACGCGTGCAGAGGCGATTCTGGTGGTCCATTAATGAGGAAAGTTGGCGAAGTCTGGGAGTCTGTGGCCGTTGTTTCTTTCGGTCGTGGTTGCGGTCGTGACGACTGGCCAGGTGTATACACGTCAGTGTCAAGTTACATGGATTGGATACTCAATACGTTAAGATCTACTAACGTTTAGATAATTATAAATAACTGTGAGAAAATGTTGGTAACGTCTGATTAAAAGATTAGTGCCAATGGTTATTTTATTTTATTTTTATAAATATTATGACCATACAATTGTTTAAAAGGCGAATTACGTTAAAATTACGATTATTATTGCTGCAGTGGTCACTTCTATTTTGCATTTTTACCGTTAAAACTGTTTTATTTAGCGTATAATACTGACGGGAATTTACAGACAATATAACAGACCAATAATTCAATACTTAAATAAAACACTTTTAACGGTTTAAACGCGAAATATTTAGCATACTTTTCAAAATTATTTTAACTACGGCCGGACGTTTTGGATGCTTTGCAGCAGCCATGGTGTCTCTTGGAGTCTCTAATATCAAAGTCAAAATTGTTATACTTTCGCCATCATTCTGTCGTACTTAGTAATTGGCGAATTTAGCTGGGTTCTGCAAGGCGTTTCGCGTTTTGAACCGTTAAAAGTGTTTTGTTTCGATGTGTACTTGTGTAAACTACATACAATATTTAACAATTATGACAAAATCCTAAATGAAGGTTTTTCATTATAATATGTAGTATTTTTTAAACATTCATAAATGTATAAATACCTGCCTCTCTTCTCTTTAAATTCGGTTTCACTCGATTAGTCTTAAGGGACTTCCTAAAAGTTATCGGGAGCCCCTTTCCTGGAACAATGACATTCAATTAACTGTAACGTATCATTTGCATAGGTGTCACTCGCAATCAAATTAAATGGAACGCTGACAATTCTATGCGCATAATTAAATCATTTACCCTTTCCGAATTATGGACGCCTGGTAATCCTTTTTCAAATAGCGCGTTCATTTAAAGCTCTAAATTAAAAATAATAGGCACACCTAGTTTTACTTATATATCGGTCGGGTTTTGAACCATTCGAATTTGTTTTATTCAATTCATACACATATTTATATTAGATCACCGTCTCAAAAAAGATTGTCTATTATAGACACAAATATCACGCTCACAAAATACAAAATTATGTTACGACCTACATAACATTATAAGAGGGGCGCGATATTTTTCACGTGAAACAAACAAATGGGGCGAACCGGGTGTATATCATTTCCAATATAGTAGTTTTATGTAAATATCGCCTACTTTTAAACTGTCGTAATTTTTAGATTCCGATTGGAGTTTCCCCTCTCAGTATTTGTTATCTGTGGAAAATGAATGAGTATTCAATGTTTTGATTTATTTTCTGTTATTCTATTTAATGTTTGCTGTCCTGTAATGTTACGCTGTAAATATAAATTAGGTATGGCTACATTATCATATCACAAATAAAGTGACGCCACTTGGGGTTTCAAACTTTTAAGTTGTTGAATTATAATTAGAGGGCTTAAAATAACCTATAATTTGCCATTCTTTCTTCAAGCGTTTACTATAAACGAAAGCCACTTTCTAGGGGGGTTAGGACTGTCTTCGCTTAGTCGAGGAACGTGCAACATCTCTTGTTTATGTTATGGTGATGGTGAAACTCGACAGCTCGCAAAATCTAAAGTTTTTGCATTTCAAATCCAAATAGAAGATCAGTTGTAAAAGCCGTTATTTAAAAAATGTTAAAAAAGTTATTTTTTTCAATGTATTCTACTATTCTATTTCAAGTAGCATACTATAGTGTAACTTATATGAACAACATGAACCTTGACAATGGACTCAGTCCTTGATTCCACTGAATAGCATGTTCCATGTTCATAATAACAATGTTATAGCACACGCAATGCTATATGGCATTTGATCTTTTATAATGAATCAATGCGATCCTTATCAGATTGCATATAAAACATATTGCACGAAAATGCAGTATTTTGTTCCAATAGCTTACGAGTAAAAATGTTTCAAAGACTAACACATTTCGTTTTGTACGTGTATATTTGTTTTTATTTTGCGACAGTTCTAGCTGATGATGATGAGCAGGTAAGATAGATAAAATACAATTTCTTTTGTTACAATTAAGATTTCATATAGGGTTTGCTGGCTCGAAGGACTAATAAAGAAACGCGCAGTCGCATCTTTATGAGTGATTTATGATGATTTTAGGAATGTGTTATAAGCTTCAGTGATGTAGTGGAAGAGTGTGACGGATTCGACAACGATTTTGCAAAGTTAAAAGGCATGTCCTTAGGGTACGTCCACACTAACGTCAGTGCCGTTAGTCTATCTGGTACTATTAGCCTGATGGATTCTATTGACGATGGATACCAGGTTAGTACTAAACTATAAATGCTTTTATTTATATAAACACAAAAATAGTTAGTACACGATTTAAACGGAAAAACCTTACGTTATCATAATTATAATAAGTTAGACGGCGAAAGTCTAAGCACTATAGAGTGGTTGATGGAGCCTGATTTTGAGAAGCGAAAACTTCCTATAGGATGATGATTTCTGTTAAATAACGCGTTACGGCGTCTGTCTTTCTGGTTCATGCAGCAGTAATATGGCAAAAAGCGAACTATACCTTCATTTATTTTAGTCTTAAATTCCTGGAACACATGTGTATTATTTTTAGCAAGGCAGTTTTAAGTAACACGGAATCCGTAACGAATTTGTTTTTTATACGTTTGGAAAAAATATATTTATAACTAAAATATATTTCTAGTTGGAACTGCAAATATCTAAAGTATCTGGTTCGTCATGCAATGATGTTATGTGGATAGCTGCTAGCAATATCTGCGCTAGCCTCAAAGAAGAAGACACCCCTTGGTACGCCCTAGTCCACAACCTTCATATGGATGAATGTCCAATTATTGAGGTATTTTTGTTAAATTAAAAATCGATTATAAAGTGAAAAAAATCAACTTGAACCGGCATCCACAGCGTTTCGTACTGTTGCTCTAACGAATTGGCTACGGAGTTCTACGCGTTGTTGATTTTTTTCAACCTTTGATACATGCACCTGCCGCGCCATCTAATTTCAACCTTAACACTTACCTATTATGGTGTACCATGTAATTTCAACCTATTAATTCAGCAAGAGTGAGTTTAGTCTTATATCACGTCAGAGGCTATCGCCACAAAATTAGTGCTAAATCGGACCGATGGCTTGACGTGCCTAGACAGGCATAAAGTTCACGATACATTCAAACTCTTGTAGTACGTTTCTATAGACGTACTTCTTTATAAATAATATTCTATATAGATATTATAAAGCTAAAGAGTTTTTTGTTTGTATGAACTTGCTAATTATAGGAACTACTGGTTCGAATTGTGTTGTCGTTAAATTATTTTTGTGTTAGATACACCATCTATCACGCAAAGTTTTGGGCTATATAACATAACGCTGCGACTAATAGGAACGATGAAGGCAAAAAAGTGGTTGTTGGCAGAAACAAATTTTTATACCCCAAATAATTATTACACGCGGACGAAGTCGCAGCTACAGCTAGTACATTCATATATGTAAAAATATAAAAGCCTACCTCCTAGTAGATTTTTCTGGTATATAGGCTCATATTCATAAGAGAAAAACAGTAAAAAGTATTAATGAATCTTAATATATTATGTATTTAATATTTTTGTGGTTTGAAAACTTTATTATTTTTTTGACATGACATATATAATTTAAAAATCGAAATAAATTGAAAAAATTTTCGACAGCGTCCCGTGCTGTTGCTCTACCAATACGACTCGGTACTCAATGGGTAGAGCAACAGCACGGAACGTACGACTTTTCAGTCCGCCGGTTTTTATTTATTTTCGATTTTTAAATTATTCTTGTGGTGACAATAAATTATTTTTTGTTTGTTTGTTTTGAATCTAACAGGCAGATTACGCGATGGATAATCTACTACTCGAAGATGGATCAGCTTCTGACTTCTGTACCCCGGAAATGGCCGGCGAATATTGTATTCAACTATCTATTACAGATAATATGAACAACCAAGTCGTTTGTTACACTTCGTACATAAGTGTAGAATCTTCTAGTAAATAAAGAAATCAGGTAAAACAAGGTTTTTAATTCCTCTTTCTCTTTGACTATTTAATGACTGAAGTAAATATTTGTACTAATTACAAGATAACATATCTCTTAAGTGCGTTGTCGACCTATTTTGGGTTATATTTGTAAATCCATAGACTGATCAACAGACTGACCGAAACGCGATTAAACTTGACAGCTTTATCATTTATTGACAGTGGTTCGTACCACCCATCCAGATTTCCAGACCAATTCAGACATGTTTCATAAAAGTTAATAATTGATAAAAATGTTGGGCCCAGTGGGGATCCAACCCATGGCCCGTTCATTATTAGCCGTATCATAGCTACTATTGTACCAACGAGCTCTTCCAAAACCTCCAAATTCCTTCTTCCAAAAATCCAAATTCTTTTACGAATTCTTTGCATAACCGTCTCAATATCAATAAAAGAAGAACAAAATAGGTATTATAGATAACATAATGAACCAAATAATGTTATTTTTGAAATAAAACACGTTAACGGTTTAAATGCGAAATTAAAACCAATTATAAATAAGTTAAAATCAATATGTTTCGTGTATTAAACCGTTGAAGTGTTTTATTCAAACTTACTCGCGTAAACTACAGACAGTGTTAAAATATTGTTATTTCACGGTTCGTATGTACAATGTGTAAGTATGTGATCCCAATGAATTTTGTGTTGCGATTCATAATTAAGAGGGCATGCATATGCAGATCTCGACATACCTTTACGTTTGCCTTCTAATTAACAGGAGCGAATAAATATTGTTCGTAAAACTCCGGTATAAATTAATAATTGCGCCGGGGCGGGCGGCCGTCAGGCGTTATTAACTTTTTCCTAGTCTGCTAGCTTTTTATATCCACTGGTCAGTGTTGAAACTTTTCGAGCCATTAATTCCCTTGCTTTTGCGACATTTTTAGGACTTTATTTAACTATGAACAAAAGTAGCATTTAACGGTTTTAAACGCGAAAAAAAAATCAGTCAACATATTCGCTGTGGTTTGTGGGTGAGCGGCTCAAAGTATGCTGCAATTCCATCGATTTAACCGTTTATAGTGCTTATATCTATAAACTATATATAAGTGCTGCTAAAAAAAAAAAAAAAAAAAAAAAAAAAAAAAAAAAAAGGGGAACCCCCCCCCAAACACGCCCGCGAAAAAAAAAACAAAAAAAAGGGGGGAAAAAAAAAAAAAAATAAAAAAAAAGTAAAAAAAAAAAACCGCTTTTAAAACCGTAAAGTTTATTAAAATATAAAAGTAGCGTCAAAATGACACCTTTATGCACGTTACACATTTAAATGGACGCACAAAGCTTCCGAAATATCGGGCCGTGGTTAAAATATAATATTAATAAATTAAATAATACATTTTGCCTTTTAGCCGTTGAATGAATGAATTTATAAGACTTTCTCCTTATTCTTAAGGTTTGTACTAATTAAGAGGCAAAGGTATAAGTAATTACAATTAATATTAAATTTCTACCAATTATTTTTATAGAATCCTAAGATTTACGTCTTTTTACAATATATTTTCAGACTAATTTCATAATAAATGAGAAAAGTAATTATATCATCAATAATATAAGAGTTATTTTAAGCAGTTATTATAAAAATAAAGCAGAAGAAATAACGTTCTTAAAAAGATGTGAGGGTCACTATCAGCTGTATGCAAATTGAAGCACGCTTCGACCAACCTTTTAGTTTTCAAATTGTAAAATTATTCAAATTGCCTTATATTTCATACGGATTTATATAAAATATACTAAAAGTTAAATTAAAAAGCTGCGATAGAGTTTGAATTATTTAATTAAGAAATCAAGAGTTGCTTATACTGTCTGTAGTACGCGTACGTAGTTACGCGAGTAACTCACATTTAAATAAAACGCTTTAACGGTTTGAAATGCTAAATTTTCCAGTTTTTAACAGTTACACTTGTTGATTTTAACTACGGCCGTAATACCGGATGTTTTTAAGAAGCCGTGGTCACGGGGAGACCGAGGAGTCGGGCCGTAGTTAAAATAATTCGTAAATAAGTGAAATTAATATATTTCGCGTTTCAAACCGTTGCAATATTCTATTTAAATAAGAATAAAAAAAAACTGTTTAATTTAAAAGTTTGTTTGATACTTGTTTGGATACTCATTTAAATTCCTTTTATTATAGCGATCACTGCGATATAACTAATCTGTACCTTATTATGTATTTCCTTCTTTTATTTAGCATTATGAACTATTATATAAGTATAAAAAACACCAGAACGACAAATGTACAAACATTTCAGCACATTTCAAAACATCTCTACCCTGCAAACTTATAATAGGCTGCTCACATCAAAAGAGAACTTCTAAATCCACAAATGACACACAAATACAGAAAAAGACGCCCGAAAAGCCGCCCGCACATCAAAAATGTTATAACTAGCGCAAGGGAGGTGCGAAGAGCTCTCCAGATCTGATAATACCGAGTTGAGTTCGCAATAAAATTGTCAAGTAGAGATCTGCTAACGACGCACTTTCAAATCCAACATTTGAGTTCGGAGTTAAACAGCGCTAGACGGCTTTGCTTGAGCCGTTACTTTTTAATATGTGGGATATAATAATGAACACGCCGCGGATCTATTGTGTGGATCTACTTGTCTGGTGTGGTGGAAATGTATGATGATAATTGCCTATTTATATAATGTACGCTAAAATACATTTAAATTAAATAAAACACTATTCGATACTTAACTTATCATTGCAGCATCCAAAATGGTAGCTGAATATTTCGTGTTTTGAACCGTTCAATATTGTATTAAATATACTATAGACAATATTAGAGATAGATGTTGATTCGTTACAAACAAAACTTTCAAGTTTGTTTTAAAAAAAAAAAATAATTTTTTAAAGTTTTTTTTAAAAATTTTTTTTTAGTTTTTCCAGTACCACGTGAGACTAACACAAATTATGTTTTTATCACATGTAAATATAGATATAGATGCATTTCTGTATTAAGGAATGTTGTAATGTTTTTTGTCTAATTTAATAGAATTACTTAAAAATAAAACAGTGAAATAACCGCGGGCCTTAGAGGAATTCGGACGCGGACAATAAAATGTCCTCTGTAATATCACTCGTGGAAACCATACACCTACTCGTACATTTAGAAAAAGTTAATGGTGCTTGAAGCTCGGCCGGTGTCCTGTAATTACGAATTAAAAAGTTCGTCCGGTGGACCCCACTTTTTTCATTTATTCGAACGCCGAATGCGAAGATAATGTTCCGTCACGAAGAGCTTGCTTCAGCAATTACATCTCTATTCACATTGAAATAAGGACTAAAATGAATAAACATCTTCCCCAATTACTTAACTGTTATCTTCTCATATACGATACGTTTTTAGTATTTACTTACGGGATGAAAATTAACTTCTGTTTATTAGGGTGGAGCGGGGTTTTAGAAATTTATCCTGGTTTTCATAAAGGTAGGTATGGACAACGACCACCATGGCTCAGTGTCAAAAAAGCGTTGTGCGTGATCCCCGCCGTTATAGGAGACCATAAGCTTATTCAGGCATGTACTAGATGACATGATCATTGATCTGGTAAAGTCAATGACAACAGTTGCCTAGAAACATGTATCTCCCCTCAACACGTTGTTTAAAAAACTTTTAATCTCTCTACAAGGTCGTCTGGTCAAACATAAATGTAATTTATCGGAATAATAAATATTCCCTCAATCTAGTCATTATTGTCATACTTTATAGCGATAATAAAAAGCTAGGATTAACTGCGAGGGAATGGCATTATTTTTCGTCGACTTTTCATTTCGCTAATAAAAAGTGGCATGTGGTTATATCAACTTGGAAATACAATTCGTAATAAAATGTGTTATTGTCATTGAGATTAGGACTCCGATGATTGTTGCATTATTTTGTTTTATGACAGGGTAAAAATAAATACATGATATAACAATGAAACCGGCAGGGCAGCTATACCTCCCTTTTAAAGACTGTAATTAATACTTTTGTATTGCGACACAACAACTGGATTGCTGGGAATTTGTTTTGAATGGATAATATTGTTTGAAATAGTTATAACGATTTGTTTAATGTTCGGCTATTCATGACATAGTTATTATTTAAAATAGTAGATTTGCATTTAAATTTGAACCCATAGAATTATTTCTATGGATAAAAACAAAATCAGTTCAATAGCTTTGAAATTATTTAAATATAACACTTTTAACGGATTAAAACATGAGGCAAAAGGCTTCGATTATTTTAACTACGCGATCACGGCAGGAAATTCGGATGTTAGTTCCAATAATTTGTAAATAAGTTAACGAATACATTCCGCGTTTTAAACAGTTAAAAGCGTTATATCTAAGTTTTATTGTTAACTACATACAACATTGAAAATACTTTGAAGAAAAAATGACTAATTAAATAACATAAATAGATTTTTGAAAACTTTTTAATTGTTTTACATGTTATTGCACATAAAGGTACTATAATATAATTTAAAAATTGCTCTTCCAATTGAGCAACGGCACGGAACGCTGACGATGCCAGGTCAAGTCCTGCCGGAGTCGAAAATTTTTTTTCAATTTATTTTCGATTTTTAAAATTTTTCGTTATAAATTCATAAAACACTATGCAAACAAAGTAACGATGTCTTAATAGAATATGCAATAAAAAAATATGATACTTGTAAGCTTGAATGACATTGACACATTAGGCAAAATTTTAAAAAAAAAACGTACATTTTCCTATTTTTGTGCTAAGCTTAAACATGGACATTTAATGGTTGATTTTTTTATTTCTATTTAAATAAAACACTTTAACGGTTCTAAATTTCATTCATCTACTTTAAACGATCTAAAAAGGCGACGCCATATGTCTGTTATTTTAAGATTAACTTGGAAGAACAACGGGACGCGACCGACGTCGTGAGTAACAGTTAAAGTTTATAAAGATGAAGACAATGGCAAAAACCTAAAATTTGTATGCCCAAA